GGGGCACGAGGCTGCGGAAATCTGGGGGGGCACGAGGCTGCGGAAATCTGGGGGGGGCACGAGGCTGCGGAAATCTGGGGGGGGCACGAGGCTGCGGAAATCTGGGGGGGGCACGAGGCTGCGGAAGGCCGGGGGGGCACGAGGCTGCGGAAGGCCGGGGGGGAACGAGGCTGCGGAAGGCTGGGGGGGAACGAGGCTGCAGAGGGCTGGGGGGGCACGAGGCTGCGGAAGGCCGGGGGGGTACGAGGCTGCGGAAGGCCGGGAGGGCACGAGGCTGCGGAAGGCTGGGGGGGCACGAGGCTGCGGAAGGCCGGGGGGGAACGAGGCTGCGGAAGGCTGGGAGGGCACGAGGCTGCGGAAGGCTGGGGGGGGGTACGAGGCTGCGGAAGGCCGGGGGGGAACGAGGCTGCGGAAGGCCGGGGGGGAACGAGGCTGCGGAAGGCCGGGGGGGAACGAGGCTGCGGAAGGCTGGGAGGGCACGAGGCTGCGGAAAGCTGGGGGGGGGGGTACGAGGCTGCGGAAGGCCGGGGGGGCACGAGGCTGCGGAAGGCCGGGGGGGGGAACGAGGCTGCGGAAGGCCGGGGGGGAACGAGGCTGCGGAAGGCTGGGAGGGCACGAGGCTGCGGAAAGCTGGGGGGGGTACGAGGCTGCGAAGGCTGGGGGGGCACGAGGCTGCGGAAGGCCGGGGGGGCACGAGGCTGCGGAAGGCTGGGGGGGCACGAGGCTGCGGAAAGCTGGGGGGGGGTACGAGGCTGCGAAGGCTGGGGGGGCACGAGGCTGCGGAAGGCCGGGGGGGAACGAGGCTGCGGAAGGCTGGGAGGGCACGAGGCTGCGGAAAGCTGGGGGGGTACGAGGCTGCGAAGGCTGGGGGGGCACGAGGCTGCGGAAGGCCGGGGGGGCACGAGGCTGCGGAAGGCTGGGGGGGCACGAGGCTGCGGAAAGCTGGGGGGGTACGAGGCTGCGAAGGCTGGGGGGGCACGAGCACGGCGTCACGCTCACGCACCCGCGATCTGCACCGCCGCTTTTAGGAGAAGCTGTGGACTGCGTGGGAGACACGGAGGCAGGGCCTAGCTCTCGCCCGCACCGGATTTCCCCCACGGGGAGCCTGGCGCGGGTCGGGCTGCACCGTGAAGCGGCGCCCTGCACGCGTGCTCGCAGGCCCGACTGCACAGCCTCCAGCCAGGCCGCGAGGGGCCGAAACACTCCGGCGGCCTGGCACGGACTCAGACCCACGCGATTTACAGATGCCTGCGAGCCTGTACCGCAGTTACCCGGCACAGCTCAGTAAAATGTTAGCTTTGCGTGACTCCTGTGCCGTGAGGGGCACCCGTGTGCTTCCCTGGCTGACCCTCAATTCCAGTAACTTGTTTATTTAGGGAGATTTTGTAATAATGTGACTTAATGATGCATACGGTCCAGATCAAGGGAAGCAATTTTACAAGGTCTTTGGAAGGTTTTGTTTTGTTTTGCTTTGGGTTTGGTTTTTAGTATGCTGTGTCCTCTGCCTAGAATATTATTCACAATAAAGACTCAAAAATTGGGCACAAACCCTCCAGATTACTTAGTGAAAACCTTTTATTTATAGACGAAGAAATAGACTTCATAACAAAGCCAGGATGCAACCCAGGTTTCAGCTGGCAATCTGCTGTTCTTGCGCCCATCCCTCAAGGCCCGGGACCAGCTGCACCTCCTTCAGGAAGTCTTCCTTGACCCCCAGACTCCCACGAGCCCCTTGTCATGGTCCACATCGTGGCACTTAGCAGTGGTTAAAAACTCTTGTCATGGGGATCCCTGGGTGGCGCAGCGGTTTAGCGCCTGCCTTTGGCCCAGGGTGTGATCCTGGAGACCCGGGATCGAATCCCACGTCGGGCTCCCGGTGCATGGAGCCTGCTTCTCCCTCTGCCTGTGTCTCTGCCTCTCTCTCTCTCTCTCTCTCTCTCTCTCTCTGTGTGTGTGTGTGTGTGTGACTATCATAAATAAATTTAAAAAAAAAATAAAAAAAAAAACTCTTGTCATTCCCAAGATTACGTCTGACTCCTGTATCTCCGAGGAGATTATTATCTCAGGGACAAAATCCGTGCTCCAGGACTCTCTTGGCTGAAGCGTCACAGTGCCAAGCCGAATTACGTGCACCACGATTATCTTCTAAGGACCTTGTCCCCTTTGTAGAGCATTCAGCACTCGTCACTTCAACCCTGCCATCCACTTCCATAGGCGTGACTTTTCATTCATGAGCACACACGCACACTTGGACACCTAGCACCGTGCCTGGCACATAGTAAGCACTCAGTACCGTTTGCTGAGAGACAGGAAGGTTTGTTTGTTTGTTTGTTTGTTTGTTTGTTTGTTTAAGATTTTATTTATTCATTCATGAGACCTATAGAGAGAGAGGCAGAGACACAGGCAGAGGGAGAAGCAGGGACCCCGACGTGGGACTCGATCCTGGGACCCCAGGATCAGGCCTGGGGAGGAAGGCGGTGCTAAACCGCTGAGCCACCCACCCAGGCTTCCCAGGAGCTGGTGTTTGAAGTCGCCAGAATCAGGGCAGGTACACAGGTTGACGCAAGAAGGAAGACTTTAGCTGAGCCTCAAAGGAAGTACCTTAACGTGCAAACGGGGGAAGTTATACTGAAGGCAAAGAACGTCCTGCATGGTGACCCCAACCGAGCACTTGGTTCACTGGCACGCAGGGCACTTGCTTAAGCTCTGGGGGCCTGTTTCCCTACCTGCTGACCCAGGGTGACGTCAGCTATTTCAGTGTCGCTAGAAGCAGCACCGGGGCTCAGTCGTGTAGTAACACCCAGGAACCCCAGCGTCCCTGAAAATTAACTCCTGAATAAAGAGGCCGGTAGGCGTGCAGGGGAGGCGACAGCAGGCGCTCCGCAGGTGCCCCGGCTGGAGCCAGCGCTTGCGGGTGGCAGGGGAGCCCCCGGCCCCGGCCCCCGGCTCTCCAGCCGCCTCTAAGCCTAGGGCTAGCAGCGTCCTTCTGCGGGGGCAGCCAAGGCCTGCGAGGCGGTTCTTTCTGGGGGGGGGAGCACGAAAGCCTGGGCCCCAGGCGCTCCGGGCGCGATCCGGGCGCAGCAGCGGCGGGAGCCTGAGGCCGGGGCATGGGGCGGGAGGGGCGCGCTCCACGGAGCTGCTCTCGGGGATGTGAGCTCCCTGCGGTGGCGCCGGGCGCCAGCCTTGGGGGAGTCACTTGGACCGCGCTCTGGAGCCCCGCCGGCCCGCGAGGACTTCACGCCCGCGCCGAGCTCCAAGCGCAGGTGGGCGCAGCGGGGACGACCCCCGGGAGGTCTGTGGTCGGCCCCGGGCTGGGGGCGCAGCCGGGAGTAGGGGTGCAGACGCGAAGGTCACCCCGCCTGACCCCTGACCCTACTGCGGGCAAGGTGGCCTGGGGGGTGCGGGGTCCTCGGGGGCGGCCCCCGCGGGCCTGTTCGTGCCGCGTGGCGAAGCGCAGTGGGCCTCGGCCCCCGGCAGCAGCGTGACCCGGGCGACGGTGTCCCTGCTGGCGGGCACCGGGCGGCCCCCAGCTGTCACTGGGCGGCCCCCAGCGGTCACCAGGCGTCCCCCAGCTGTCACCGAGCGGCCCCCAGCGGTCACCGGCGATCCCCAGCTCTCACCGGGAGGCCCCCAGCGGTCACCGGGCGGCCCCCGCAGCAGCGGAACCCAGGCGGTGGCGTCCCTGCCAGCGGTCACCGGGCGGGGCGGCGTCAATGGGAACAGGGCCAGGCACCCTGTTAACTGACCCAAGCCGTTGGCAAGTCCGCGTGTTCCCAGTGAGCCTGTGCATGGAAGTGCGTGCGAACCGGAGGGCGCAGGACACGGAAAGGGTGGAACCCCGGGGGCGCCCGGGGGGTCAGCAGTGGGGCGGCTGCCTTGGCCCAGGGCGTGACCCGGGGTCCTGGGATCGAGTCCCACATCGGGCTCCCTACGTGGAGCCTGCCTCCCCCCTGCCTGTGTCTCTGCCTCTCTGTTTCTCACAAATAAATAAAATCTTAAAAATTTTTTTCAAAAGTAATGAACTCTGAAGGTGAAATTATAAATTTCTCTTATTTTTTGTTTGCTGTTTGTAGTTCTCCATCCTTCCATGTGCCACTTTTGTAACAAGCACCAGTGCGCTATTTAGAAGTGATCTGTTTACATGAGTAGACACACCTAGAACCATGTGCGGGTGATAGGAGATCAGACGGGGGGCTAGGCAGCCGCTGGGGAGGCGGTAGGTGCTGGGAGAAACGGCCGACTGGTAAGTGGTGGACAGACAGACGGGTGCAGGTGGCCACGACAGAGGCGTTAGACGAACAGGTGATGGATTAAATAGATGGAGGGTAGCCAGGTGATGGCTTAGACAGACGGACGGACAGGCAGCTGTAGACGGTGATGGATTAGACGGACGGACGGACAGGCAGCTGTAGAGGAGTGATGGCTTGGACGGACGGACAGGCAGCTGTAGACGGTGATGGATTAGACGGACGGACAGGCAGCTGTAGACGGTGATGGATTAGACGGACGGACGGACAGGCAGCTGTAGAGGAGTGATGGCTTGGACGGACGGACAGGCAGCTGTAGACGGTGATGGATTAGACGGACGGACAGGCAGCTGTAGACGGTGATGGATTAGACAAACAGACGGACAGGCAGCTGTAGAGAAGTGATGGCTTAGACGGACTGACGGACAGGCAGCTGTAGACGGTGATGGAATAGACAGACGGACGGACAGGCAGCTGTAGAGAAGTGATGGCTTAGACGGACGGACGGACAGGCAGCTGTAGACGGTGATGGATTAGACGGACGGACGGACGGACAGGCAGCTGTAGACGGTGATGGCTTAGACGGACTGACCAAGGCGGGTGATGAGTCAGAAAGGCCGCGGCGGGAGGCGGTCGGACGGGCAGACGGGGGACGGACCGCGGCGGGAGGCGGGTGGACGGGGACGGGCCGCGAGGCCAGGCGGGGTCCGGCGGCGGGTCGGGGCGGCGGCCTGACGTGTCCCTCTCCCTCAGGTGGACGCGCACGGCAACATCCTGCTGAGCGCCCTGGAGCTGCGGACCGAGGCGAGCGGCTCCGAGGTGCTGACGGGCGCCAGCGAGCCCCAGGCGGCCGGCGTGTTCGCCTTCGACAGCGCCAGCGTCCAGTTCCGCCGGCCGCTCAGCAGCCGCGACGCCTACGGCCGCGCCCCCGACCGGCTGGGCGCGCACGGCAAGGGCCGCATCCGGCGGCGGGCGTCGCAGCTCAAGGTCAAGATCCCCGACCTGACGGACGTGAACTCCATAGACAAGTGGTCCCGAATGTTCTTCCCCATCACCTTCTCCCTCTTTAACGTCGTCTACTGGCTCTACTATGTCCACTGAGGGGCGGCCCGGCGGCCCGGGTCACGCGCGCCCGCGCCTCGCCCCGACCCCCGGCCGCCGCCGCGCAGCTGCCTCCCGAGGTAAGACGTTCGGCCGCCCGCCCCGGTGAGGTCTCGCTGTCCATTGTGTCCCCGCACCACGTGTACTTGTACTTCCGGCAACAAGACGCGCGCACGCACACGCACGCACACACGCACGCACACGCACACGCACACTCCGTGTTTCCCCGTCTGCCGAGGTCCGGCCCGGCGCCCTCAGAGCCGTCGCCGCCATGTCCCCGCCGACCCGGGCGCCGCCGGGACAGCCGAGGCGCGCACCCCTGGGCCGCCCTTCCCACCCGCCCCGGAGCCTCTTCCTGGACTTTTTTAAACCAGAGAGAGAAGCAGCAGCGGCCGCCCCCCGCCCCCGCCCCCCGCGCGGGCCTCCGCCTCCTGGGAAACTGTGACGCTCTTGTGCTGCCAAAAACACCCCAATTGCCAGGATCTCAAAAGAAAAAAAAAAAACACACAAAGCCATTGACAAGGTCCAGGTGTCCAGGAAGAAGGGAGCGAAGGGCAGCCTAGGCGGCGGCGGAAGGCGCCATGCAGGCCGCGGGCCCGGTGGAGGCCCGGTGGGGGCCCGGTGGGGGCCCGGCCTCGTGGGGGCGCCTGCAGGCCGTCACCCGACCGCACCCTCCCGCCGCGTCCCTGAGGGACCCCAAGCTGCTGTCAGACTCGCAGGCGGATGTGCGACGGACGCTGGGATCCCGCCGGGGGACCACGGCGAAGGCGGCGGCGAGCACTTCCGGCCTGCGGGTGAGACTTCCGGCCTGGAAAACAAGTTGCTCTTCCTTCGCGCGGGCGCAGCGGGCCGCCCCGAGGCCGCCGCAGCCTGGTCAGGTGGCCTTGCGGGGAGCACCTCAGGGCGGCGGGCCCGGGCGCGGCGCCGCGTCCCACGGTGTGAAGCGGAGGCTTCAGCGGGTGCGCACGCGCCGCCCCCCCAACCTGAGGCCAGGCTTCCACTACGAAGGAACGCTTCCAAGCAGGACGGCCCCCGTGACGACAGTGACACGTCCCTGGGCCCTCCGACATCTCCCACATCTCCGGCAGCCGCGGCCGCGTGGGGCACCGCGGGGCACCGTCGCGGCGGCTCCGCCCTCTCCCGCCCGCGGGGCAGCCCCGTGGTCCCGACGCCCGGCACCGCCTCTCCGCGCGTCCCCCCCGCCCCCCCCCCCGGCGCAGGTGAGAGTCACCCGTGTCCCGTCGTGAAAGCCTCCTTATTCTTTTTCAGCCCGAGTCGCTAAGAATTGCGCGTGTTCCCTGGCAAGGTTGAGGGAAACCCTCAAACGACCAAGCAGTGAGGGAGGCGAGGTGTTCAGGACCCGAGCCCCGGATGCTAAATCAGGACTGAGGTAAAACTAAGGGGGACCGCATGGCCTGGTGACCCCGCCGCCCCCGAGGCCCTGCCGGGCTCCGTGGGTGCCGTGGCATCGGCTGCCAGACGTTACGGTCTTAACTGGAAAGAGAAGGCCCGATTCCCGCTGATGACCCCAAGGGGAGAGAGCTCCGAGATCCTCTTTCTAGAGGACAGAACCCCAAATAAATGGTTATGGCTCCAGACAATATGCATGAGTAAGAGCAAAGACTGTGCTTCTGCGGAAATGACCTCAATGGCTTCGTAAGAAATTAGTAGGTTATGGGGAAATTGTCATCTAGGGTTTTTCAGTTGCACAATCACAGTTCTCTGGTCAAGAGACTCTCCAGCCTCTGGGGGACGAAGGGATCCACTTTGAAACCGACTAGTCCTTGGCGGGGGAAAATGCTTCGCCAGCGTGAAATGCCCAGAAAGAACGGGATGTGACCATCCCAGTGACCACCCAGGAGCCACTGTGCATTTTACATACTGACTGGAAGGGAGACTCGGCTGACGCCTAACAGGAAGGAATCACGCTGCTGTCAAAGCTCTTTAAAAAGCTTTTAAGGATGAAATGCTCAATTCGAAAGGAAGTATCTATGATCTGTGTTCCTTATCAAAATAATTTTTTATTCATCTGTTTAGATCATTCTCCTTGAAAAAGATGGAGGTAATTACTTTTATTTTTTTATCTTGCCTTAAAAGTCTAGGAATTGGATGCTTATAGTTTGGAGGTAAAGCTTCTCTGAGAAAAATAGGACGTTTTGAATTCTCCTATCTTGACCTTTGCTAAAATAAGAAACTAGTAAGCCTACGTCTACCACCAGGCACAAGATGACGTCACCATATGTCCCCCTGGGCTGTGCGGGGAGTCACAGCCACAGGATTGGGCAAATCTTATTAAATAGCTTTGATTTTAGAGGCCATGGTAGCCTGAACAACGGAGACGCTGACATATCTCTGGTCAAGGACCTCTGTCCCCACTTCCTTCTTCTGGACACCTCCCAGTCCCCCCACCCCCACCCTCATGCTCCCTCCAGTGCCTGGGGAAAAAAAAAATCCCTTCCTTCTCCACCTCTCTCCCTCGCCTTGCTCAAAATGATGTACCTGAAAGTTGCTAGATGTTCCTAAGTGCTCTCAAAGTGGCCCCCATCCCTGGAGGCGTCCCACCGGGACACGATTGAGGGGTCACCATCCAGCTATAACCGGGTGGGGTCATTTTGCCATGAAAATAGCCATACTCTCTTGTATTCCTGAAGGGGTGGCACAGGCACCAAATTGCGCGGACTCGCTCCCCCCACGGGTGGCCCCGTGTTCACGGGTCATCAACTGTCACATAAACTGTGTCATAGATGTAACCTGTGTGGGCCCAGCAGAAATCCCATCTGTCACTTGACAATGATGACTACACCCTCATTTTTCCCACTCATGTTCCTTAGCGTAGACTATCAGAGGTCACGTGTGTTACGCGTACCGGCTTTGTGAGGCAGACCCAGGCAAAGACACATTTGGGCTGAAGTTATCTGGGATTATTGCCTGCAGTGTCTATATTGCCAAACAGAAGCAGCAGACTGGTTGGTGATGCTGCTGACTAAGCGATGCATGTTTTCACGTCACCTGTGCCATCTCTGTTGCACATGATAACGCAATGAAAGATCTTGAAAATGCCAGGAGGAGAAAACTGTGGTGCGGAGAATAAAGTTTGGTTTGTGGATCCAAGGCTAGGCTTTCCTTAGGCAAACATTCTGTCCGATACACAAATGCTGACTAAATCCTATCCTTCCAAAACCAGTGACTCCTTTATAAATACTCACTTAGGAAAGAGCTCAACTGAAATTCGCCAAGTCAAACAAACAAAATATATTTACAACTCCAGAAGGGAATGACCTCCAAGATTTCTTACATGGACAATTTGGAATAGTATCTCACCAAAGAGTGATGTGCCACTTTTTGGTTTTGTTTTTCCCCAAAAAACAAAATGTAATCCTATATCCCAGGAGGGCAAAAAAGAATGTGTGAGCATTTGTTCGTGTGGATTCGATCAGCGATTCCTGGGATGAGAAAGACAGAACAATGAGCCAACATCTCCGTTTTCCTGAAAGCAAAGGTCCCCTCATTAACGGAATGTAGACTACTGTGTAAACTTCCTTGTAAATTCTGTACATAGTTCTGGCTTGTTCCCTGTTGCGTGGTGGTCCTGGGCGTCAGGGGTGTCTGGCCAATCCGAGCACTGTAAATAGCGGACGCTTACAAGGCACTTGCTTTCATCCACAGGGTGAAGCAACTAGCGACTTGGGCCAGCCAGACCCTTCTAGCTCTTGCTCTTTCTCTGCCATTTTGTGTGTGCAGCTGTGTATGCTGCCAGGTGTCCGTGCCCTCCCCCGCGCCCCCCCCCCCAGGGAAAAAGACAGCAGCCGCCCAGCAGGTGCTCTCCTGTGGGGCCCAGGAATGACCCACCCGCAGAGACGGGGACTGCAGCCACCTGCTCCTGGAACCGTGTCGTGAAAACTAGACGTGCTTTGGTCAGGCGTTCGTGGCTGTGCATATACCAGGATCCCAAAGTGTCCACGCTGTCGAGGGGTCAGGAACGAAAGACACGTTTGAAATCCACAGGTCATCCGAAGCTTCATTCACACCAGTAGCTTTAGTTTCTAACTTCTTTTTCCTTCCACAACGTTTCCCAGAACGTTTACTATAAAGAACAGAGGTGAATGGATGGGTTTGATCAGGGTCCACACACAGTCAAAGGGCCCACTGAGGGGAAGGAGCAAAGGAAGAGAAGACAAGTGACACTGAAACACCAGCTGGCTGGCCCATCCCTCAAAGATGCAGAGGTAACTGTGTCGCTGTTTCTAAATGGGAAAGAGAAGTATTGGGAATTAAAGCAAGTATTTGTCAACTGGGGGCCCGGGATGTGTTTGTCGTGTGCTAGTTAAACATAGAATCTGGTGATTAAATATTTTCACATATATTTCTCCCAAGTCCTGGTAATTCTTGAAAAAGACTTCAGAGTGGTGGGATATTCAGCTGTAAGATGTATTTTCTTGCCAGCTGGCAGTCCCAGAGAAGGTGACGGTGTCCGCAGAAATCCAGAATATCTTAGCAAGCTGGGACACCGATTGGTCTCTAGGTAACATTCTAGAAGGCACCACGTCTTCCTTGGGGTGAAGCACTTAGCAAGGTAGGCCCTTTTTGTGCCAGGATTTTATGTACCCAGAGAATCCTTTTGGCTCCCAAATGTGCCAGCTAGTGTCCACTGGTAATCAAACAAGACAGATGCCCTTGTAGGAACTAACTGGGTCAGTTTCTAGATCCAGAATCCACTGAGCTTTGACTTGGATCATGGTCTGTCTACATAACTGAAACCAACTAAACAGACAGAAGCTTAATTGCTAAAGGTGGTAACTTCACGAGCAACATTCGAAAGGAAACCCTTTTTAATAGAAGTTGTGCAAGCCTAAAAAATACTAAGTTCCCAGAAGGGTAAGGATAAAGGGTCTTTGAGTCTGATATTACTTCTCTGGCAGCAGGAATTTCCTTAACTGAGTTGACGAGGTCCAACAGGTGTTCGTTTTGTTTTGCTTTTCTTCATCCAAAAGTCTTTGGTGCACCAAGGGGCTCACATCAGTCCTGACTGGCCCCCGGCTGCCTGGCATATCCTGAGGCAACCAGCACTCCTCACAGAGATTTCAGTAGGAATTTGGTGTGGGGAGAAAACGTCTATTTTCGAACC